GCTGAATGGATTATGGAGTTCACGTCAGATCAGATCTCGCCAGCCAGAAGGCAGCATCGCTTTGAAAAACCGGAAGCAGCCGGCACGAGTCTGGAGACGTGAGCTGGTTACCGACGTTAGGTTCTCATCATCTGGCTTTCAAGAGTCGCTGAAAAGAGCGATCGTCGGAAATCTAAATAAAATTGCATCAAAGTGCGACACGCGAGTTTGCGAGAAAGATGGACAAAAACGTTTTATATGGGGACAAAATGTTTCAGTTTTATGGAGTTATAATAAATGTGCAATTTAAGTACTCATTATTGTTCATATGAATGTTAATTAAAAAAGGTAAGAATCTTCTCTCGACCGTACTGGCAAATATTATTTATTCAATCACAACGTTTCGACCCTTCTTTGAGTCCTTATCAAGTAATTTGTAAAAATAAAAATAAAATTATAATTTTAAGATGTCAAGAACAAACATAGTGTCGGTTTGACAACACGTCAAGACTCTTAGACGAGTTATTGGAGAAATGTTAATTAAGTTAAATAAATATTGTATTTAGAATTAATTTATAGATATATATATATATATATATATATATATATATATATATATATATATATATGTATGTATATATCCCAAGTCATTTTGACATCTAATGGCATCAGTTTGCTACTTGGGACACATAATATTATATAATAATTAAGAATAAATAATTATATTATAATAATAATCATATTATATTATATATAAAAAAAATTAAATAAATGACATCATTTTGACGTTTAAACGTCTATAATGACGTCAGTTTGCTACTTGGAATACATAATATTATATTTAAGAGTAAATAATTATATTATATTTAAGAAAAAATAAAATGTACAATTCAACTACTCATTATTATTCGTATAAACGTTATTAGGTTAAATAAATATTATATTTAAGAATAATCATATATACATACATACGTATACATATATATAAAACGTTACAGTTGACAGGTGACGGAATATTTAAAAGTCTGAGAGAGGGGAATCTCCTCCTACACGTTGCTGGTTGGGACACGCGACTAGCATTGTATGCAAATGCGAGGCAGATGTACGGATAAGTCAGAAAAGTTGTCCTTTTCGTATTATTTTACAATAAACTGCCTCTACGATTATTTATAAGATTAATTAAAGTATAAAAAGTATTAAAAAACTGGAAAAATAAAAAAAAGATAAAATTTTTCAACACTATATACGAGTATATATATACCAAACTATATATATTACGACTGTTTCTAATATTAATTAATATTTTATTTTTATTAAATATATAAATATATAAATATGTGTGTGAGTAAACGTGTATATACATATATGTGTCGTAGAAAGTGTGAAAAATTAATTTTTTTTCAGTAAGATAGAAGCAATAAAGAACACATTCCACAAAGTGACAAGGCGAATAAATAGCTTGTCAGAAAGAGCTGGTAAAAAAAAATACTAATGGGCACGATCTTTTCTTTCTTTCATAATAATTCACAATAATTGTCTCGGGAGACGGGAGAAGGGAGAAAATGGCCGCGCGATATCACGGCGCGTTTATTACGTAGAAACGGCGGGCGCATAACGTCGGAGAGATAGTGTCATGCACAGGAACGCATTCGCCGTTCGGTACCTGTGTGTGCAAGTAACCAGAGTGTACTGTCACGGAGGCGTACAATAGGCCAGTTTCGGGACAATAGCAGAGGCCGACAATCAAATCAGCCCGCTATCAGCCACCCCAACCCATCAACGTTTATCCTTTGATCCGCTCAGTCGTTTGCTCGCTCGCTCACTCGCTCACGGGGCAGCAAACACTCCTGATTGCACACTCTCTGTATTTAAACAGCCTCGAACTGTCTCTCTCTCTCTCACTCTATCTCTCTTCCCCCAATCCTGTCACTACCCTTTGCCGCTTCTCCTCGTCTGATTTTCCGGTCCTTCCATGTTTAATAGATCCATAGAAGAAGAGAGGAGAGAGAGAGAGAGAGAAAGACGGAGAAACATCATCCGGGGTAAAACGCTATTTTCTAGTGACATTATAATCTTCAATATTTAATCTTATCGCAAATTTTGCGCGAAAATTTACATTTTTTAAATTAATACATATACATGTGTGATGTGTCTAATATTTCTCACATTTTACACCTTCTATCATATATTTTGATTTTAATATTTGCGTTTAATATTTATTAATTGGACCAAAAGCAAAAAAAAGTAAAATAGATATCGTTAAAAAATCAGCGGCGGTCTTGTTAATTTTTGTCGCAGTATAAAAAATTATATAAAAAATTTAAGTTCAACATGCACCTGTGTGCACGTGGTAGGAAGTAAAGTTAAAGACATTGTGCTCTAAATGCACACACGTGTCGAACTACGTGTATCAAATCGCACGTGCGAGCAATGCGCGGAAGTCGATTGTCGGAGACGATAAACTCTAAAATATGGAAAACTTATAAAATGTGGAAAAATGGATATTATTGTAAATTGTGACAAAAATTTAATACGTACTGCGGCCATATTATAAAAACTTTTTTCTAATTATGATAACTGAAACGAAGATGTGAACAATCTGACACGTTTTATATTATTGTGTAATTTACAGAAAACGAATGATCAGTGTTGTACTTAGATGATTTTAAAATTAATTAGATAAAGATGATTTTGTTTTAAATATATCTAAATAAAGATAAAATTATATAGTGATTTATCTAAATAACTTCTAGATTTTTCTAAAGCTACCGCGTATGTAAACATAGTTATAAAAAATAAATTATAAAAGAGATATAAAAATATATTCACACTTTTATTTATAAGCCTTTATCGTTTACTGCCCACACAGCACAAAACTCAACAGAAATGTTGCAGAAACATTTCAAAGTTTCAAAAAAGTTTCAAGTAACACTGAAACGTCATTATAACATCTAAGAAACGTAACATAGAAAAAGTAAAATTAATAAATAAATTCTTCAAAAGGTCGCCAGTAATAATTAAAACAAATATCTAATGAGCAAGTTAGTGATAAAACGTTTGTCAAACAGTTAACATCCGTTACACTCGTTTGTCATTTCTACATCGTTCGTTAAAACATTATGGAAATGATTGCAGTTTCAACTGAATTTTAGTCTTTATTACTCTTTTTACTAATCCGTATTTATATCTGACTTAGATACTTGAAAAGAAGCGCAATGACGGTCAAAACGTTGTATTAAACAATTGTAATAAAATTGCCAGTTTGGTCGACTTGCTCATTAAATATTTGTTATAGAAAAAGTAACATTTAAAACATTTATGCAATCTTTCATAAACATATTTGTGATAAAATAGCGGACATTTTCACGTGTTTAAGACGTATATGAAACATTTTTGAATAAATTTTGTGAAGATCTCTGAAATGTCTTGTGCTGTATGGGTGTTTAATTATCTTTATGTGCTATAGCCCTAAACCAAATTATCTGGACATTATTCTAGCTAATTAAATAAAGATAACACTTTTTTCTAACTAAAAGGCAGATATAGATAACACATATTTTTGCTATCTATATAAAGACAAAATGACGTCAAAATTTCATTTAGATGCTCATCTATATAATTTTATTTCGATAACAGCAAACACTGCAAATGATGAAGAATTGCAGATGATGTTTGCGCGATGTCTATAGAGAGAATAAACAACCTCGAAACAAACGCTTCTATCTTTCGAAAAGTTGCAGCGATACAATCGCGACACAGAGACTATGTCTATCGTATGTCCTCTTTCTGGGTTGGGATCGCAACTTCACAATTCCGAGGACGCGTTCACCTCGACAGATATGTTTGCGTCGTGGGTTCGAGTTCGATCGAAGCGTAACGGGCCGTTGTCTTGGATGCGGGTACCTGGGGTTGGAAGAGGCAAAGGGATAGAGAAGGTAGGGAATAGGAGGTTCCTGCGAGGAACACCCTCTTGCCAGCTGATTATAAATTAAGGCCATCGCCATAGGATTCAATCAATTATAATTCCTTTATGATATCGATCATTTTGAACATTAAGTATTATCTAAATGATTATTTATAAACACACACATACGTATACAGCCATGGCCAAAAAAGTATTACGTATCTTTATTTTATGAGATATCTTTTGAATATTTATTGGAAATGATTCTATTGTTAATTTTTATTATATTGAAATGTTTAAGGAATATTTTTAACAATAGACATCTCAGTTAATGGGTCAAAAAACAATTGACTTACTTTAATTGCTATATTCACATTTTTAGAGTGATAGTACTAGTCTACTGTCAGATGTCGCTATTGTCGTAAATATAATATTAGTGCGCGTTTTTAGGAAGAGATTTTAAAGAAAGAATGAAAAATGTAGCACCAGAACAATGTCGTCAATTTAGTAGTACTATGCCCAAAAGAATTGCTGCTGTAATTAAAGTAAAAGGAGAAGCCACTAATATTAAAAAACAATAAAAAAACACTTCCTTAGAAATCCTATGATTTTATTTCTTTTTTACACGGAAACATAAGATAATATAGAATTATTATAGGGTGCCTAATATTTTTGGCCAAAACTGTCATTTGCCAGACATGTAACATAATTTTACTATTATATAATTGACAAATCAACACAATATAGTAATTATAGAACAACCTATTCGTAGCCAAAACGTGCATGGAATAAGGAAATTAATTGATGTCCACCAATCTTTTTTAATTTTTCATTTTTGATGGCAATTTCGATATGTCGCGGAGCGGTGGAATCTTGGACCGGAATGTTTGGGGTAGAAATCTCATAGGGAGGAACCTCCGGTGATCGATTCCTCCGTGAGTTCCGAGAGGGGTTGTTATCGTCGATTAGGCACCCTCGAAAGGGAAACAGCCGGCGATTGGTTCGCTAGGACCACTCCCATAGGCGGTGCCTGCCGACATATGGTGGCAACCGAGAGATATACTCGCGTTTTGCCGGGCACAATGTGCCTGGTATCCGCAGCTAGTTTGCACCATGGTAGAGTCGCCTCGCCAGTTCACGCAGCAACGTCGTGCCGCACGCATCGGCACGCATCGGCACGCATCTGTTCATTCTCTCTAAAGCAACAAACGTCAAAATCAATCAGCGTATCGCGGACATTTATAGGAAAATCTCGATCGATTCGCTTCTCATTAAGAGAGTTTAAGAACCACAAGGCAATATGAGGCTACAGACTTTCCTAAATTGGCCGGTTGTCAACGTGATAAATTCCGAAGAACTGATTGTTTTCCATGATATTGTAACCAAAATGTTCGACTCGCTCCAAGAAACTGTGTCTAGGTCGTAGTGAAGTGCAGAATTGGCTCTCGTGCTTCGTCCGTGATCGGAAGTGGCGCATTTGTGATAAAAATCGCCAAAAAAAACGTCCACTGTGATCGCGAATCGTTTATCGTGTGGCTGATTACCAAAGCACCGAGGCATCGATTACGAAATAGCATCGACTATGGTAGTTTTGTAAGTATCCATGATTGGACTTATAGAGCATCCATTTTTATTAATTTTTATCAAAATAGAGTGTCTCGTACTCAGTAAATCACTGATTTACAGTAGATTCCTGACGTCATTTAGAGACGATGTTTTCTCAGCTAAAATGTCGAGGCATCAGTAATTTTGAAGTTATAAGCGAGTAAAAATAAAAGGTTTTTTGCAAACTAAGTTTTGTAGAAATAAAATATTAACAAAATCATACTCCTTAGTTAATTTTGGGTAGCGTTTACTTTAATAGAATTTATAATAACAAAAATTGGAGATATGCAAAAAATGATGATCCCTTTCGACATTTTCATTGAGGAAAAAATCGTCTCTAAATGACGTCGAAAATCTAAACGTATATCAGTGATTTGCTGGATACGGGACACATTGTATTAGTTTTCCAATAAAATTACAGTTACAGTTGTAAAGTATAATCCAAGTTCAGCGAATTCTTCCATCTCAAACTAACTTTTATGAAACATAAAATTTTCAGTTGCTGATTTGACAAATACAAAGAATTTGTAATTTTAATATTTGACATTAATTACTTTTGCATTGGAAAGAGAAGGAGAGCAAGAGGGGGGGGGAGAGAAATGTAGTTAGTATCTAATCAATGAGTGTCCTGCGGGTCTCCCATTGGTACGTGGGCGTATCACGAGACTTGATTGGACGCAAGGTGTTCTACAAATCCCTCATTTACACATGCGCGTTTTATCAAATCATACGCTAGTGCGCAGAAGTTGCGTTTTTCCAATACTTATCATTTTTACCAAAGTTACTCCTCGTCGTTATTTTAATTCTCTCTTACTTCAAATAACTCTCAAAAAATATGATAACAATTAAACGATATTCAGAATTCTAAGAATAGTAATTAAAAAAAGTTGATATAATAAAACTACAAGAAAATAAAAAATTAATTTTTTTGCGCTCTATTCCGAAGTAGCAAATTCACGTCTTTAAACGTCAAAAATGACATTATTATTTTGACTTTTAATTATACGTTATTTGACGTCAAAATGATACGTACTTGCTTCCTGAGTTTTCAGAAGCAAATATTCTCAATTAAATAATTATTGGCAATAAATAGTTAAAATAGGTTTACGATTGCACTTACTTGATTAGTCAAGGCAAAAGAAATAATCAAGGAGTCTAAATCGGAAAGAAGATAGTTATCTTCGTGAAAACTCGATTAAGAATGTGTTACCACCTCGCCATTGATGGCACAGGCCAACACCTCAGAGACAGATTAAACGAATGTAAAACGCGATCCCCTTTTATCTCGAATCTCAAGAACGTTCTCTTCCTGTCTGCTGCCTCAAGAGATCCTTTGAACCCGCGGTTCCCCTTCGCGAGCTCCTTTTCCCTCCTCGTGTATCCTTTTATATTCGGTGGCAACCGAACGAGAAGCTGACAGTTTATTCGCGGTATTAATTCAACGATTACAGGTAGGAGGGGACAATATTTCGAATGTCAGATTTCACGCAAATTCTCTAATATGTGGTCTGGAAAAAATCTCATGATTTTTTATGACCAATGTTGACGTAAAAATTACAAAAAATATATAATTAAACGATATCAATTTTAAAAATCAAAACTTTATATCTGAATAAATTTTGGCGTGACATCCTCAAGAATTTTCGAGTTTATTATGTTATAAATTTATTTATTATGTTATAAATATAAATTAAATATTTCGAATGTCAGATTTTGCGTAAATTCTCTAATATGTGTTCTGAAAAAAAATTTCATATGATTTTTTTATGAGTACCTAATGTTTTATAATTACGAAAAATATATAATTAAACGATATCAATTTTAAAAATCAAAATCTTATTTCTGAATAAATTTTTGCGTAACATCCTCAAGAATTTTCGAGTTTATTATGTTATAAATTCATCAATAATATGTATATCATAAGGTTGTGCAACGCACTAATTGCGAGTAAATATTCTACAATCATCAGTGCTTGATTTTAAAATTAGTTAAAAAGATGAGATAAAAATATGTAAATTCATCTTACAATTAGATAAGATAAAGATGAAGTTGTTTTCAATATATCTAAATAAAAGATTAAATTGTGTGGCGATTCATCACATAATTACCAGATAATATTATTTTTAAGGATCGCGCTTATGTAAACACAGTTATAAAAAAATGTAAATTATAAAAAAGATATAAAAATATATTCATATTTTTATCTATAAATTTTAACGTTTACTGCTTAAGTATTTTTATGTGCTATGGCCATAATACCAAATTATCTGAACATTATTAAATAACAATGTTAAAACTCTTATATTATTAAATAATTTAGTAAAGACAACACTTTTTTATCTAAGATGCACACAGATATAGTTAATAAATATTTTTATTATTTATATAAAGATAAGATGACGCCAGAACTTTATCTAGATAATCATCTATATAATTTTATTTAAGTAATAGTAAACACTAACAACCCTATAAGAGAACCCACGTGCGCCCCTAAATTTTGCGCGTTAAACTGATATTACTTGCGATCCTTCTTTCTCTTGTCGGTCATTCGTCCGCTTTCTCTCTCATCAGGATCAACGTGGTTTCTCGAAGCGACGTACGGGAATCGGCAAAAAGTCGGGATTTACAAAAATCCAGCCTGACCGGTTTTCTTTCGTTCTATCGCGTTTCATTGAGTCGCGACCCGTTTTACCAAGCTTTTTGCACTATCTCACAACTGTTCCATTCTGCTATTCAGAATCATTGCGTAGAGATACTCTGCGTTAATAAATAGATATCGCCAGGATTGACCAGAGATTGTATAAGTAAAACGATTGAATGTAAATGGCGTATGACTGGGTCATCGCTCTGATCAAAATAGTTTTCAAAACATTCTAAAAATTGTCAAAAATACATTCTTCGAATGTAATATATAGTCTGTCGAACTAAGTTTGTCGCGCGTGGCGCAAAAAATACTTTTCGAAAAATCATCTTCAGAAATATGTGAAAGATTTATATTACATATGTATAATATGTGTAAAAAAACACATTAATTAAAAATATTTTTTTTAACAGATTGCTAAAGAATGTAAACTAATTAATGAGAGATAGAAAAATTTTGATGTACTGCCTACAATAAATAGCACATAAACAAATCTGTCTTATGATTTTATTATTTTATTATTTTGATTGTGAGAATAAAAATCACACTCGCAAATCGACTGATTTGATTCGTGTCGATTGTGAACAAACATTTGAAAAGAAGTAGATACTTATAAGATAAAATAAGTGAATAACTTTCAATGTAAAAAATAGACATTATTAATGCTATAAGACTTTCCTCGAATTGTCTATAGCTAGATTAAACAATTTTCGAAAAATAAATAAAATTAGAAGAAAAAAAATTAGCAAAAACAGTTGATTGATCGAAATTATATCACTTACTGAACATTGCAATTTTTTCTTTTCATTTTCTTTTATTTAATTATTTATAGATAGATTAAGAACAAGAAGAATTTATTTTCTTATATGATGTGATGAGCTATATTATTTGAACATTGTATGTGCAAAGTTTAAAATTATCGTAATAAATGTTTTTATTATTCTTGCACGCAGGCGCAAAACAATCTTTGTTAAATTTATAATCCACAAGTTTACGCAATTCGGGGCTTAAAATAATTCAATGCGACACTAGTGGTGGTCGCGTGAACTATCATAAATGGCCGTCGCGAGAGAGAGAATACATCTGACATTATCTTATTATTATTTGAATAATTAATTAATAATGTTGCAGTGATCACATGAGATTCTGATGTCAAGGCATTTACTTGTAGACATAAGGAATATAAATCTATTCTTTCTTGATTTTATGACTTTTCATAGTTACACTGCACATAATAATCATGCCGGAATTTTATAACATTCTGACCTTTAATCATATTCTTTGATGAAGGCGTAGCTTTTGTATAATCACAGAGTGTGTCTAGCCGCAATGACATCTTTTTCATTAAAAAAATTAATTTTTATACTTAAAACTGTTGTTGTATATTCACAACGGCCATATTTGTTTTGCTTCAGTAGCCTCTCTTACTACGGTAGACGTTTTTTTCGCCAATAAAGAATTAATTATGAAAAATGAATATAAACGAACGAAGGGGTGAAGTTACTCTCCTGACATTACAGGATTGGTGTGTGTTTCGGAATGTTTCCGGATAAAACGAGAAGAGCAATAATTCGAATGAAAAGAGCGAAGAATTAACTTGTTTAGAAACGCGAGATTAACTCGCGAGCTAATCTTGCGGAGAGATCCAAAGCTTGTAGCGAGGGAACAGAGAAACGGACAAGTAACAAACGGAGGAAAAGGAAGAGAAGAAAGAGAAAATGAGAGAAAGAGGAGAAACGAAAAAGAAGGAAAGAGGAATGGACGAACCGAGAAATTTCTTCCTCTTCACACTGCGCCCTTCGTGATATTTTAGTGGCCTTGTCGCGGCCGCGTATCTACCTTAATATCTGAAATTCTCAACGCGCACCCATACCATCGAAAGAGAGAGAGAGAGAGAGAGAGAGAGAGAGAGGGAGGAATAAAGAGCGTTTTCTCTCTCTCTCTTCCTCTTTGCTCCATCTCTTCGGGGATCACGGTACTCCGTGAGGACGCACGCGTATGTTCACGCACGTGTGCGTACGTCTTCGACTCTCGACTGGACAATCTTGGCGCAGCATCGTCCGCCGATGTATCATCTTACTTGGAGCTAAAGGCGATGACTTTATCACCGATCCGGGCAATCATTCACCTAAGCTCGCTCTTTTCTCCGTTAGCACTCTATCCTCGTCCTCCCGAGTGTGTTCCTTCGGCTCAATTCCACTCCGCCGAGGAGAAAAAGGAAAGAGAAAGAGAAAAAGAAAAAGACTTTGACGTAATGTATAATAAACGCGTGTTTGCTTTTCTTCTATGCTATACATGATGACGAATCATCGATAAAAAATCGACGTAGAACATAAGATAACAAAAACGGGGTGTATACTCAAATCTTAAAAATAAATTTCCTGAGGATTTCATGATGTTCCAGGTACTTTTGTTCAAAATTCCAGATAAAATTAAAGTATTTTAAATAATATTTAGAATACAATTTTGAAATAAGTTTCTTTGTTATACATAACTTTTTAACATAAATGAAGTATTTTTTTTAATATAATAATGTAGTATTATATTATATATTATAATAAAATATATTTTAATATATACTTTATATAAAACTAATAAATTTTATATTCTTTAAAACTATATTTTGAAATCAAAGGGGCAATTTTTTTAAATGTCCTGAATTTAAATTAAATTCCATGGTAAGTCCAGGATTTTTCAAAGTAGAACAAAATGTCCTGAAAATTCCAAGTTTTCTAGGTTTTTCCAGAGAGTATACACCCTGAAAAAGCAGCTGCATTTTCGTAAACAATGTACCTATCATTAATTAGTATTATCGATTAATATCGTGAGTGATTTTATGGCCAATGGGATATGTGCAATTGCTACCGCATATGTTATTTTTTTGATAACAATAATTTTGCTGACTCGCTGTCTATTTTATCGACAAATATTATTTTTATTTAATGGCCTATTTATTGGCTATGCACAATGAAAAATCCTTTTCCAGAATTAAAATATTCATAATAATAAATCTACTATGTATATGTATAAAAAAGAAACTAAAAAAGTTAAATAATTATACAGTTTTCTTCCAACATATTGTAACAACATATTGTATTATAACCGATAAGAAAACTGTTTAATTATTTAACTGCTTGGTTTTTTATATACATATATATTAGCCTAGATTTGTTATTATAAATACTTTAATTCTAGAAAACGATTTTTTTTCTGCATAGCCAATAAATAGATAAGATTGTTGACTTGGATGTTTTAGGATTATAAACGTCTAAACTTGATAAAACTGACGAAAATGAGGTTATTTGTGCATCCTGTGCGCGTATTCTGTACAAGTGTCCCTTAGAAAAATTCTGCGGAAAAATCTTCCGTAATGACCTGTCGGATATATAATAAATGACTAGTAAATTTGAGTAAATAATCTAAGTTCGACAGCAAATTTAGACCGATATATCTAAAAATTCGGATTCACAATAAATTAGCGAAAGGCTTGCTACAGCTGCCAATGTTTTCTACTATTCGAAGTAATATATCTATTGCAATCAAATTATTTTCTACTTTTTACATAGCATTTTAAATAGCAATAAATACATTTTTATGAAAAAGCTATACAAATTAATTCATTAATATTTCCTGATGATTTATTATCCTGATGTTTTATACACACATTTCTTCTTTTAAAGATTATAATTTTAAACAATTTATTTGATATATTTGGTATATTTGTGCGAAATATGATCGATAGACCGTTGTTTGAACTTCGGTGAGAAATTCTCGCATACATATGTCACCACCGACATATAAGCATATACTTTAATGTTAAAGGAAGAAAAATAGAAACTAATTTTTGAGCTGATGTGCGAAGAAATGTATCAATTGTAAAAAATGTATTATGTATAATTTTTTCCTTTTATTTGTGTACTATTTGCAAGTTTCAAATAACAAAAATCAATTGCAAATTAATCATATATTTATTATTATTAATATGCGCGATGAAATGGGGAATTGATCGAGTGCCAATGCTTTTTCACATTATTTTTTTATAAATTTTCATAGCAATTGATGTGAAATCTTTGTAAAATAAGTTTATAAGTATTATAATAAAATAAGTATTGGTAAATCAGTTTGTTTGAACAAAAATAAATAAAGAAACGCGTATTTGTAAGTGGAGGAAATATTAACTATGTTGCAAATCCACTATTGTTATTGATTGGAGAATATACAGTGTTTTTAAAACTGTGCCAGAGATTTTAAGGATGTATTCTAGGGATCAAAATAAGAAAAAAGTTTCTATATAAACATGGGTCTAAAAATAAAAATTATCATCTTCTATCTCAAAATCGGATCAAATTGTCAAAATTATATAAAAATAAAGTATTCGCTACTAATTTTATTACATTGTACAAAATTTCAACAGTCTGTGAAAAAATTTCCGAGAGCTAAAATACATTTTCGATTTTTTTCCCAACTTTAGGGGGCTATAATTTGGAAGAAAAGTACTAGATTAAAAAAAAAAAATAATATTTGTATTGTTTTAATGTTGGATGCTTGTTGGATGAGTGCTGAATTCTAATTTTCAAAGATGAATGCATAATCACTATTAGTAAACGCGAGTTGATAAATTTCACAAGAATAGTTTTATACTGAGAATACCAGTCTGATATGGTGTAACATGAAACACATTCAGCATCTTTCCGATTCGATTATAATATACGGAGTTACGATTATAATATACCTAAGAGTTCCCCGGAAAGATGCTGAATATGTTTCATGTCACGCACTATACCACCCATAAACCTCCATAAGTTGCGCGAGATAGGTTAGGTACATACCATAATTTTTATCTCGCAATTGGCGGATACAATCACTATTTGCGTGAAAAATGTTAAATTATCTTTAGATTAGATTTTAAATAATAATTTAATCCCAAAGAACAAAAAAATGCAGAATTTTAAGATGGACCGCATCGGTTCTGTTTACATGTGCAATACAGTTATACCGTGTACTTATTGTTAGATGATTTTAAAATTAGCTAGATAAAGATGAGATAAAAATTTATCTTAGATAAATTAAAGATAATTTTGTTTTAAATATATTTAAATAAAAGATAAAATTATATATGACAATTCATCTAGATAATTTCCAGATAATATTATTTTTAAGATAACTTATAAACATAGTTACAAATAAAATGTAAATTATAAAAGCAATATAAATGTATATTCATACTTTTATTTTTTATCGCTTACAGCTTAAGTTCTATTGCTCAAGTATTTTTATGTGGCCCTAAATCAAATTATCTGAACATTGTTCTAGATAATTTAGTAAAGATAATACTTTTTCCATCTAAGTGCAGATAAGATAGATAATATTATAATATTTTTAAAGCTAAAATAATGCCAAAGCTTTATCTAGATGATCATCTATGTATATAATTTTATTTAGATAATAGCAAATACTGTTTGCAAAAATATACATAAATTTCAATTTGTTAAAACAATTTTAAACGATAAGGAAGTTTAAAGATAGATGCTTCAAGAAAGTACAAATTCATTCTGTTTTCGTATAGAAGTCGCGTGGGGTCGCCGACGATGTCAGCGACTGTTGCTAGCAATCAACAACAGCAACATCCTCATCAGGAATGGGACATAAACGATTCGAACGTTCCGAGGGTAAGTTTTTTTTTTCCCAATCGGGACGAATTGTATCGCGCGAAATAATTAATTTCTTGAAGAAGAATGATCGGATCGAAAAATTCCAAACTTTATAGAGATCAAAATCGTATATCCTTACAATCTCGAAAATGAAATTTTACGTCAGGTAGTGGAATACGACCCTTGGTGTGAATGGGCGGATGGACACGTGAGGAGAGTCTACGGACCGGATTGCGAAGAAGCAAGGAGACACGCCTCTGGTTGGGCGATGAGGAACACCAACAATCATAACGTGAGCATCCTTAAGAAGAGTTGCCTAGGCGTTCTGGTGTGCTCTCAGGAGTGCATCCTGCCCGGCGGTGGAAGGGTTCACCTCCGGCCGGCGATTTGCGATAAGGTGATAACGAACGAAATGATAAAATGCAAATCTCGATTCAATAAGAAATATAATATATAAATTATAATTGCGCGATAGTTGCATATCGATATTCTAATTTTTTTTTTTATGATGCAGAATTTTGCTCGCTTGTTCGCAACGAAAGCACAGATTACAGATGACTAATTTACAGCCAAAAATTATTTTAAATTAGATAAAGTGTTTTTTTTTATAGATTTGCGGGAGTTTGCTGAAAACGATGCCGCAAACCAAATTTTACTAGCATGTCAGATATTTAAATCAAAAATAAAATAATTGAGATTTTAATGTATAAAAAATGGCTTTTTTACGATATTTCAGATTTTTTGTTGTAAAAAATATTAATGTTATCTGGAATGTCTGATCAAATATCGTGAATCTATTGTTTATCTCCTATAAAATGCATTTTTGATTTCAATATTTTACTATTTAGCCATGTTATGAAAAATTAAAGCTGGGAACACTACTTCTTATATGAAGATGCTTTTTGAGAAAAAAAAACGTTTTTTTATTCCAAAATTTATTTTATTTTTTTTTTTAGATCATACAACTTTTGTCTGAATTATTCTTTTCAAAAATGTAATTGTTTCGAAAAATTTAAGGTAATTAAAATAAAATATCTTATATATAAATTTATATTTAGTGAAATCTATTACGATAAGTAATAAGATTACACTGTGTATGTGATAGCCTTGAACTGTAAATTATGAGTATAATTATATGATTTTATTATATAGCTAGAATATTTGCTAACTCAATAAAACTGTGTATTTAAATTAAATCCTTCCTAACATGACTAAAAAGTAAAATATCGAAATAAAAATGCATTTTATAAAGGATAAACAATACATAATTTCTGATCAAAATTTCAAAATACTTTACCTTTTTTCCAAAAAATTTAAATATTGCAAAGAAATTTTTTTATTATTTTGGAAACCTGAAAATTGACTTGCGGCAATTGTTTTCATCCAAAAATCTATAAGAAACATCTTGTCTGGTTCCATAAAAAAAATTAAAAAAAAAATTTTTTGTAAACTAATGTAATTGAAAAATTATATTGTAAAATTAAATATTTCATTTTTGTGATTTATTCCGTATAATTAGATTAAACAATTTTACGCGTTATTGCCCAATTAAAGGATTAAGAATCAAAATCGAAATATAATAATAATAATAATAATAATAATAATAATAAATCGTCAAATTCGACATTCTAATAATGTATCTTGATTTTTTCGCAGGCGAGGAAGAAACAACAGGGCAAACCGTGTCCTAATAGGCAATGCACCGGTCGTTTAGAGATACTATCTTGTCGTGGACATTGCGGTTATCCCGTGACGCATTTTTGGCGGCACACGGAACACGCGATCTTTTTTCAAGCCAAGGGCCAGCACGATCATCCGCGACCGGAAGCCAAATCTACATCGGAGGCTAGAAGAAGCGTGGGTTCGGGCAGAAGGGTTAGGGGATTAGCGGTTCTTTTGGCGAGAGAGGCCGCCCTAGGCTCCAAGGTAATTCTCAATTTTGCGCGTTTGATTACAAAATTAATTTGAAAAGTAAGAAAGAAATTTTTTTTTGAGATCTCGAATAATATTTTTCAAATAAAATTTCTTAAATATTATTATTTATTTTTATTATTATATTATTATATTATTTTATTATTATTTTTATTATTTTAATAATTATTATTATTAATAAATTATATATATATATTAATTTTTAAAACAATGATAAATTATTAAATTAAGGCCATGTGTAACGAGCAATACGATATTATTTTATTATTGAGAAGAAAATTCTTAATTTGAAATAATAATTATACAAACGTTTCGAGCTCTACTTGCTCCTCTTCAGTGCGCAAAAAAATAGTAATAATAAATAACGATAATAAATAAATACATAAAATTCTAATAAAATCCGCAATACATAGTCAATATAAGTTATATAGTTGAGTCATAGTTAAAACGCAAAATATATTTACAATGAATTGAGACCATTAAAATAGTTCAACAAAGTAAGAACCCAATTAGAAGCAGAATGATTCGTCCGGTTATTCGTAAATATATTAGAATTATTAATAAAAACTTGGAGTGACACTTATACATTACTCCAAATGAACCACTTATCGTTATTTGACGAAAGTCCCTCGATCTGGTAATGATTATGTTCATCCTCTCCAAATTATTTGATATTTGTTAACTGAATTTAAAGAATTTATTCAATTGTAAAATAGGATTCCACTAATGTGTATGTGAAAAAAAGATTAAAAATTATAAATTAAACTAACTACTAAAATATTGAACCTTTATGCTTACAAATTGTTCCGAATAACTTGAGATGACGATGCTTCCAATTGTTGTTGGCCTTATTGTTAGTACTTGACTGTTGCCTAATCTTTTAAAAAGTCGAATAAATAGGTGTCAGATCTCACAAAATAAACATTTACATAAGTCTAAAAATTCGATATTTCTTCTAGAATGTCGAAATACGCGTTGTTAAGCAATTCGGTGTCTGTGTTATTATTTATACCATGCCTTTGTTCCTTGATGTGTATCATTTCCGAGATAAGTCTTTTATAATAATTAGATTCAATATCAAGTATTTTAACGTTATCCCAATCAAAAGCATGTTTTTTATCCATAATATGTTCAGAGATCACAGAATGCTTGGAGGAATCAAATTTAATATTATTCATATGCTCTTTTAGTCTAGTGCGTAATTTTCTTTTGGTTTGCCCAACATACGAAGCTTCACAATCCTTACAATTAATTTTGTAGACAACATTATTATTATTGTTATGCACGTTTTTGTCCTTGTGGACTTTAATTAATTTGTTAAGATTATTTAGACAACGGTATCCTACTCTGAAATCTGATTTTTTTATTGTCGATGCTATTGTCTCAGAAATGTTATTAATGTATGGAATGACGAAAAATTTTTTCTTGCTATTATCTTCTGCAATTTCTTTTTTTCTATTGTTGTTAAACTGACCATTGTTTAAAACTCTTATTCTCTTATTTATTTCTTTAAAGATTAAATGAATAGGGTAACCGTTGTCCAATAATATTTTAATACACAGTTCTAAATTTTTCTTATGATATATGGGATGAGATAATAACAATGCCCTATTAATAAGATTATAAATTACTCCTATTTTATGGCACATAGGGTGACTCGATAAAAAAGATAGTACTCTACCTGAACATGTCTTTTTTTGAAACCAATCTAAGTGTATGATGTTGTCTATTATTTTAATGTTTAAATCTAGAAAATTTATGCTTCTATTAATTTCGTATTCAATCGTAAATTGTAGTCGTTGATTGTAACTATTAAACTTATTCAATACGCTATCAATTTTATTCTTTGGTGCCACCATAATAATGTCGTCTACATATCTATAATATATTCCAATACCGATGTCCAATTCATTAATTATTGATTCTTCAAGATCTTGCATAACAATATTAGCAATTATTGGCGATAACGGGGAACCCATAGGTGTGCCATAAACTTGCTTGTATACAATGTCATTGAATGTGAAGTATGTTGACGACAATATAAATTAACCATGGAAATGAATTCATTTTTTGGAATTAATGTATGTGTACTGATATAATTCCATCTATTGCTCACACTTTCTATTGCAAGATCTATCGGAATGTTAGTGAATAGTGAAACCACGTCTAATGATATTAGAATATCTTCCGCACCAATTTTCTTACCCGCTAGCTTGCTGTAAAGTTCAAAACTATTATTTACATGGAATTATATCAATACACATACATTAATTCCAAAAAATGAATTCATTTCCATGGTTAAATTTATATTGTCGTCAACATACTTCACATTCAATGACATTGTATACAAGCAAGTTTATGGCACACCTATGGGTTCCCCGTTATCGCCAATAATTGCTAATATTGTTATGCAAGATCTTGAAGAATCAATAATTAATGAATTGGACATCGGTATTGGAATATATTATAGATATGTAGACGACATTATTATGGTGGCACCAAAGAATAAAATTGATAGCGTATTGAATAAGTTTAATAGTTACAATCAACGACTACAATTTACGATTGAATACGAAATTAATAGAAGCATAAATTTTCTAGATTTAAACATTAAAATAATAGACAACATCATACACTTAGATTGGTTTCAAAAAAGACATGTTCAGGTAGAGTACTATCTTTTTTATCGAGTCACCCTATGTGCCATAAAATAGGAGTAATTTATAATCTTATTAATAGGGCATTGTTATTATCTCATCCCATATATCATAAGAAAAATTTAGAACTGTGTATTAAAATATTATTGGACAACGGTTACCCTATTCATTTAATCTTTAAAGAAATAAATAAGAGAATAAGAGTTTTAAACAATGGTCAGTTTAACAACAATAGAAAAAAGAAATTGCAGAAGATAATAGCAAGAAAAAATTTTTCGTCATTCCATACATTAATAACATTTCTGAGACAATAGCATCGACAATAAAAAAATCAGATTTCAGAGTAGGATACCGTTGTCTAAATAATCTTAACAAATTAATTAAAGTCCACAAGGACAAAAACGTGCATAACAATAATAATAATGTTGTCTACAAAATTAATTGTAAGGATTGTGAAGCTTCGTATGTTGGGCAAACCAAAAGAAAATTACGCACTAGACTAAAAGAGCATATGAATAATATTAAATTTGATTCCTCCAAGCATTCTGTGATCTCTGAACATATTATGGATAAAAAACATGCTTTTGATTGGGATAACGTTAAAATACTTGATATTGAATCTAATTATTATAAAAGACTTATCTCGGAAATGATACACATCAAGGAACAAAGGCATGGTATAAATAATAACACAGACACCGAATTGCTTAACAACGCGTATTTCGACATTCTAGAAGAAATATCGAATTTTTAGACTTATGTAAATGTTTATTTTGTGAGATCTGACACCTATTTATTCGACTTTTTAAAAGACTAGACAACAGTCAAGTACTAACAATAAGGCCAACAACAATTGGAAGCATCGTCATCTCAAGTTATTCGGAACAATTTGTAAGCATAAAGGTTCAATATTTTAGTAGTTAGTTTAATTTATAATTTTTAATCTTTTTTTCACATACACATTAGTGGAATCCTATTTTACAATTGAATAAATTCTTTAAATTCAGTTAACAAATATCAAATAATTTGGAGAGGATGAACATAATCATTACCAGATCGAAGGACTTTCGTCAAATAACGATAAGTGGTTCATTTGGAGTAATGTATAAGTGTCACTCCAAGTTTTTATTAATAATTCTAATATATTTTACGAATAACCGGACGAATCATTCTGCTTCTAATTGGGTTCTTACTTTGTTGAACTATTTTAATGGTCTCAATTCATTGTAAATATATTTTGCGTTTTAACTATGACTCAACTATATAACTTATATTGACTATGTATTGCGGATTTTATTAGAATTTTATGTATTTATTTATTATCGTTATTTATTATTACTATTTTTTTGCGCACTGAAGAGGAGCAAGTAGAGCTCGAAACGTTTGTATAATTATTATTTCAAATTAAGAATTTTCTTCTCAATAATAAAATAATATCGTATTGCTCGTTACACATGGCCTTAATTTAATAATTTATCATTGTTTTTATTGTCATACGAGCTTGAGCATTAGTATGTGATGTTTTGATTAGGTATTAATTTTGCATTAATTTTTTTAAATAAAAATTTCCCAATATTTTCCTCAGTTATATCAGACGATAAAATAATTATTTCAGTTTTGGCCATTATTTAATTAACATCAATCGTAAAACAGTAGCTAGATATATCTGAAATAATGAGCTGAAGTGAAGAAAAAATTGACTTACTACAACGAAAAGATTCCGTTCGACTTGTGCAATCTCCAGCTGCAATTTCCTGCTGTACGTCCTACGGTCAATAAAAAAAAAGAGAAATAATGATTATAAAATGAGCGAATTGTATTACATTAATTATATACTGCATGCACATATGCGTTTCATTGCAGTTAATGTCACTGAGAGGAACGAAAAGATCGAGCACGGATACACTCGAGCAGTCGGCGAGAACAACGCAGCCACCACCACTGATTTCTGATAAAGGTTACTATTTTAATGTCTTATTAATCAAAAACGTAAAATATTCATTATAGCCGTGAATATATATCAAAAATTACAGAAAATATTATTTTTGTTTTTCAATGTCTTCATATTATTTTATTATTAGCTGCGATATAAAAATATTTAAAATATTACAATTTTTTTCTATTTTTTTACTGTATAATTTTTTAATCGAGTGTATGTATAATTCTGCGATCTCTTATCTCATCATTCTAAAGTTTATTCCTTTTTTTTATTTATATAATTTTGTATACTTATACATGTACATAGATTATAAATATTGGTCTTGTTGAAAAATTTCTATTATTGGAAAAACTTAACCTAAATTTGTCCAAGAATCTGTTATTAAAATTAAGAAAAAAATTATTAAAAGAGTAATGGAACTATATATGTACTATGGAACTATATTACATATCAACTTTAAATTTGAACTTAATTTCTATTTGAATTTCGTAAATATAAATAATCAATTACCAAACATTGCCGCTTTCTTAATGACTTTGCTCCGACAAGTTGTCGATTCATGGTTCACGTTAAAGATGCAAAACACTGTTTTATATAATGTAAATGATAAGTGAAATTGATATCGATTCTTGATTCACGATATTTTTGACACACGCATGAAATAGAATACTCGGAAACTCGTAATCCCGATTTTCACGAATGACGCGACTCTGTTGAAAAATCAGTATATATTTTATTGAAAAATTTTTGAACATTTAATTATAGGTCATTAATATATATTTAATACACTTCGCCACCAAATAAAATTATTTGTGCATTATTGTGAAATTATTACTTTAAATTTAGGAAGTTATAAACTCAACTAAAATCATACACACACGTTTGTCAATCAGCGTCAATCGTCAATGAATACTAGTGCGCGAATGCGAAATGCAACTATAATTACGTCAGCGCGGCGCGGCGCGACGTGAAGTCGCGCGCGAATCGCCATTTAATCGCAGCTTATGATTGGCTAACTTTAAATCCTTTCAAAAATTATATTGTACTCACAGAATAAAAAAAATATAATAATAATAATAATAATAACAACAATATAACAATAATAATAATACAATAACAATAATAATAATAATAATATTACATATTAGTTTACAAAAAGTTTTTTTTTCATTATTTTAAATTACATAAGGTGTTGCTTATAAATTTTTAAACGCTGAAAATGATGCCGTATTAAGCTAATTTTCACTAGCACGGTGAAGTTTCGAAATAGTTGCTTAATATACAAAAAATGACATTTTTGCGATATTTAAGATTTTTTGTGAAAAACATCAATGTTATGTGGAAATTCTAATCATATATGTCATGAATGTATTGTTCATCCCCTATAAAATGCACTTAATTTTGTTTCGATATTTTACTTTTTAGTCATGTTAAGAAGAATTTATATACTATTGTAAGTTTTGTTGAGATAGCAAATATTCCGCTTATATATAATGATAAAGTCATATATATAATTATATACTCATAATCAGGGTTGAGTAATAACTAGTTAAAAATTAAAAGTTTATAACTTTTAACTTAGTTTAGTTAATTTATAATATATTAATTTTTAATTTCAACTAGTTATTTTTGATCTTAAACTTATTAACTTTTTTCTAAGTTAAATTTTTTTTATCTCTGAATACCATTATTGGTTTTTTATAAGTTATAAACGTATTATTTTTAAATTAAAGTATTATTAATTTTTATGTTCATTTGTCATCAATTGTAATTACCAAAAAATATATTGCTATATAAAAGTCAAAATTTCTTTTTTATTTATTATTATAAATTAAAAAAATTAACAAACGAAATTCTAATTTAATATAAATAATCTTTTTAAAAATTAACTTTTGATTTAACTTCAGTTAATTTAATCTTAACTTTAATTGAGTTAATTTTTTGCTCATGTAACTTTTAATTTAATTAAATTAATTTTATATGCAACTAACTTTAATTTAACTTATAAAAATCTTCCTCAATGGTAAAAGTCAACCCAACTGGCAATCATTTATTATAAATAATTAGTTAAAATACAACGTTTTGGCAGCCCTTTTCAAGCTGCATTGTTGTATTTTAACTAATTATTTAAAATAAATGATTGCCAGTTTGGTCGACTTTTACCATTGAGGAAAGATTTTTATTAATTATTACTGGCAAACCTTAAGGATTATTATCTGTTAATTTAACTTAGTTTAAAAAAATCATTAACTTACCCAACCCTGCTCATAATATAATTATATTCATACAATTATATTCATAATTATACGCATACAATATACTCATAATTTATAGTTAGGATTATCGATATACATACACAGTGTAACTTATTGTAATAGATTCTACTAAATGTATATATGTGTGTATTGGGTGTCTCATTTTAATTGCATTTATGATAAATTTTTCGAAACAAATGCATTTTTGAAAAAAATGTTCCAGACAAAAATTGTTTAATCTAAAGGAGGACAAGTAATTGTAAAATCAGTTTTGGAAAAATAATTTTTTCTAAAAATCATTTCCTTAAGAAGCATCTTTATATGAGAAATAGTTCTCAGTTTTAATCTTCCATAACATGGCTAAAGAGTAAGATATTGAAATAAAAAGAAATACATTTTATAGGGAATGAATAATATTCATGATATTTAATTATACTTTTCACATAACGTTTTTTACAAAAAATCTTAAATATCACAAAAAGCTATTTTTTTACACATTAAATTTCAATTATTTTGAAAATCTGATATGCTAATAATAAAATTTGATTTGTGGCATCGTTTTAAAAAATTTATAAGAAACATTTTATCTAATTTAAAATAATTTTTGGCTGTAAACTAGTGTTATTATTGTATAATAATATATTGTATAATATACAAAGTCTATGATTGTATACTATTTGGAATATAAAAAAATTAGGACTTTACTTGGTTCCTCGTCAACTTTCTTACTATAATATTTCGATCCGCATCAAATTCGCATCAAATTTTCACAGATTTTAAGTATAATAACAATACTTTTACATAATAATACACGCGAAATGAACTATCCTTTTATTAATAATTGCGAAAAACTTTTAACAAAAAATATAAAGAAACCATTCTTTCGATGTTGTAGGATATTCATGCTCCTGTCCACCCTTCGAGTGTATATGTTCGCTACAAGCTAATATACCGTCCTACCCGCAGTCTCACCATCATCAGACAACGGTATACCCTCAACAGTTATCTTCCACAGACGGATCTTATTGGATGCAGAACGCTCCGCCGCAAGAGGACACCGTTGGTTACTGTCTGCCGAATCAGGTTCCGCAGGAAGCTTACGGCGATTTTCCACGCGATCCCTTTACAGGCGATCTCTTTCAACCGGAAGAAATCTTTCAATTGGATCAACCGTTGAGGCCCGATTTTTCTGCAAATCCTCAGGACATGGCACGTTCACCACCGACCCTTCTTGATCTCGGTAGCGGTACCATCAAATATGAAGTGAAGCAGCACGATCAAACCTACTGGAATCAATTCCTTAGCGAAGATTCCAGCAGCAGTCATTTGAGTCTGTCCCAGGACGAGAGGTTCCACTTTACCAACTTCGAACCCGATAAAGTTTCTAATGGATTTCTTAAAAAAACGATGCATCATTACGCTTTACCAGAAAAGAATCAAAGCCAACCTATAAATGATGCTCTGAACTATCAGAGCTATTCTAGATCGCAAAGTCAAAAAAGCTTCATCGAAGGAAGCGCGAAACACGACGAGCACGAGCAGTCTTATTGGTCCCAAAATCAACAGGACAACAGATTACATTTAGAAGGCTTCGAAGTCAAGGAGGAGGAGCTTTTGGCCTCGCGCAGGGAGATCGAATGCTACAAGAACAGTTGTCAATCTCCGATTATAAGTAGAACGGAATACAATCAGATTTATCAGAGGCCGAAGAGCGAGGATCAGCACGATACGACGCGACGTAGTTGCAACAGCTCCGAACAAGACAAGCCGTACACCTTTGACGGGTATCACCATATGTTCGAGCACACCGCCGACAGCAAGAACCAATCGCACAATCGCGTCGCGCATCATCAGAACTCGTCCAGGTTAGGTTTGGACGACAGACTCCAAGGTGGTTACGACAATCAGGAGACTCCGGAAATCGCAGAGAGGCTATTTCACAATTCCGGCGTGGCGGAAACATCCATTCGCTCGCAAAACAGCCCCGAAACCTTCTTTTATCCTAGCAACGACCGTTGCCATTACACTTGCGAGATCGTCGAGCGGATGCCGCAGATGCCGGGTGCCGGACCAACCAGTCACGGGACCGTAAACAGTTACGGCGATCAGATCGCCGCCGATCTAGATCTGCCGCCCTTCGTGGATTACACGCTAGTCGGGATGTTGTGCAGTTCCACGGACGAGGACACGTCGAGTCTGTTACCTTCCGCGGGGTCTTGTCCCCAGGACTCGCACAGCTACATTCCTCATCATTAGAATTATATAGTTCGTCGCCACTACTCAATATACATATTTGTATTGTACAAATAAATACATAAGATAGTGTTGCCAGTCTTTCTCTCTAGGAGGTAGTACATATAGACTCGATCGTTCGCTTCTCTTGTAACCACTCAACTCTAACAGCACAAGTATTCGAAAAACGTTCAGAGGACATGCAGAGGATAATGTCCTCTGGATATCCTCAGAATATCCTCTGAACGTTTTTCGGATATGTTGTGCTGTTAGGGAAGTAACAAACTGACATCTTTAAGGAGATGCTGATTATGTTGGTTTTATCGACAAATTATTTTCATTTATCTTTTTATTGGCTATACAGAATGAAAAATGCTTTACTAGAATTAAAATATAACAAATCTGGGTTATTATACGTATATAAAAAGAAATCAAGAAAGTTAAATAATTACAGTTTTCTTATCGTTTAGGTTAGGTTGACTCAATGCAAAAGACCAATAAAAAAACTAATTATTTAGCTTTCTTGTTTATATATGTGTATATATATATATATATATATATATATATATATATATATATATATATATATACGTATATATGTATATATGTGTTAGCCCAGAATTGTTATTATGAATACTTAAATTCTAGTAAAGGATTTTTCATTCTGTATCGATGAATAGTTGAATAAAAATAATATTTATCGATAAAACAGATCTAATCAGCATCCTCTTAAGGGAATCTAAAAGCCGTCTTATTTTATCGATAAAAAATAATTAATTTTTTTTTTGTTCTTAACATAAAATCAGTAGGTTTGCGCTTTGTTTCTATATGCATTTTAATCGTGGAAAAGCATTTATTATTCTATTCAATGAATAAAAAAAAAATGTGCACAAAAATGGTATTTTATTGATAAAAGGGGATGGCGTTTAGGATCATTTTAAACGTTAAAATGACGTATATTTGTTATTTGGGCAATTTCTATATGTGTGTAAAAATATTTCCTACAAATTTTATCTTCGGCTAGGTCCTGAAATGCAAATCTTTCAAGGAGATTTCAAGGAGATGAAAAAGCAGAATCGACGCATTTAAAAAAAGGTCACATATGATTTATTTGCAACTGATTTATTCGCAACAGATACTCTCACGATCACATTGTTATGTGTATGTATTATGCAGTATTATTTTACTATTATATATACCTATGCATTACACTTTCTTCATTACACATGCGCAATATCTTTTTACGAGAGAGTGTTATTAATAATTAATGAGAACGTTTGCGAGAGCGGCAAACGCGTAACGTGGACATGCACGAACTGAACGGATCGATGTTGGATTAATCCCCGGTAGCAAACGTACATCATTTTGACGTTGAATGACATTATAGATGTCAATTTGCTGCTTGAGATGGAACGAAAGTTTGTTCGCGCGATTTATAGGCTGGCCAGGATGAGATCTTTAAATGATGCGTTATTAAAAAAATGTATCGAGAGGAAAGAGAGAGAGAAAGGAAGGAAAAATGAATAGAAAACAGAAAGAAAGAGAGAGAGAGAAATGCGTGCTGATGAGAATTTAACGATTCTCTACCACGTCGAGATTCGTGTAAAGAATAACGTTTGCTAAACTTGCAATAAAGCAGCCGAATTTATATGAAATGTGTTATATACACGGTTATGGTTATTATGTGAGCCTAAAATTTGATCGAAAACGACTGCCTCGGTTCTGCAGTTCTTTCGATTTTAAAAGTATCAAATATCCCATTGAATATAATGCAACATACACCATTTGCAGTTTTTCGCTAGTTTAATCTAATTTATAGTAATGAAAATCAATTTTGATTTATTAATCGTAAATAAACGGTGATGTCGCGAACCGATCTCGATGTTCTTGTTTCCTTACAATTTATAGAACAATCGCCTGCATTATTTACATACAACACACATACAACACACACACGGTCTCTCTCTCTCTCTCTCTTTCTCTCTCTCTCTCTTTTTTACACACAACGCAACTTAATTTAATTTAATTTAATTTTTAAATCACCTCTAAACTTACAAATTTAATCATTAAAAACTCTTAGCCAAATAAAAAATCTTCTACCGCTATATGTTTAGGCATATAAGAAAAAGAAATATCTTATCTAAAAATCGAAATCGTTATAAATATAAAAGCGACGTCTTCGTTATTTCGTATTTGCTTTTTCGGATGTTTAATCTTCATTAATCGCCAATGTTATTTCTTTTATTTCAGAAACCTCTCTTGGACACCCGATTATTGTTTTTTTTAATAATTAATATTGATAATTGCTATTCAATATTGGTTGTAAGTACATACAAATTGCAAATACCCAATTAAACAAAATCGATTGTTCTTCAATCAAGCATACAAACATTTCGATAAATGATATACTTATATGATACACAGGCGCATTGCGTCGATATTTAGGTTCTTATAATTTAATGAAAGCAAAATAATATTATAATTACTGAAACCGACTAACTTAGCAAAACTAATGCAATTGTGCACAATCACATTTCTTTGAAAAAGTATTTCGTAGAACAAACTATATATCCTACATCTCGTTGAAGTATCTTTTAAATATAAAGACAAGAAATTAAAGTTAACCGATTGCTTTTTAAAGCACTACCACTTTTTAATCTTATATTTCACAGTGGTGCAAAAAAGTTACATCAAAGTTGCACATAGATAGAGCTTGAAGGAGATTCTCAGAGAGAACATGATATATGATATGAATCGAATGATAGTCTGTTGATGTTAAATGTTTTTCGCGCCATTTCTCGAGCTGCAAGTCGAATATAAATTAAAATCACGATATCGCACGCACGAAAAACACATCTCTCTCTATATATATATAAATATTTATAACAACAGATTCCTTTCCTTTCAGAATGATGAGTATCCTTTTGAAGAATTTTGTCAATCTGCACATGTGATTAGCTTAACCTTAGCTGTTTTATCGCTATTTGAAAATATGATAGAGTCGCATATATATATATATATATATATACAATCTGCTTTTCTTCTTTTTCCTCTGTTTCCGGTTTTATATGGATAAAAATCGCTATGTGTTTTCAATATCGCAATAAATTATTAGTCACTTATTTTTAACAGACACGTCGTTGATACTGTAAATATATATTAAAATAAAAGAAAGAAAACTTACTCTCTCAACACACTCTGAGAAAGTTTAAACAAAAACTATCAAAGTAATGTGACATTTGAGCGCCTCGTGTGTCTGGAGTTTCATTGCATCGAGTTTTTTTTTGCCTCTATCAAATTTACATAGAAGTTTGGTCTAGTAGGAACCTAAGTAGCTAAACTAACATGGAAATTACATACGAAGATCGAAAATTTGAATTTTAATAATTTTTCATCATCGTGGTGGCAGTAAAAACGTATTACTTTATATTGTCATCGTATCTTTCTTCTCTTCACGACGGTGGTTTATTATTATTTCGATGTAGAAGACTGTTTTCTTTTCCTCCGTATGTAATTTCAAGCGACAAATCATGAAATAGTGAAGGGAGAAATGATGTTCCTGCGAGAAAGGAAGGAAACTTTATATCCATCCGTCCTCGGTATATTAAAAATCGTGCGAATTGAAGACGAAAGAGTAAATATATCAGCTACTACTTTGTGATATATTCGCTAAAAGCGAATACGTCATTCTCTCGAGAGCTCCTCTCGAGAGAGATAACTTAATCTTCTATCGAACAATTTATCTTACGTATCAGCATATTTTTTTACAAATTGCTTGCAAACTGGACACGCGTCCCGAATTTGCACCAATTTGAAATCGTCGTCACGAACAAACGATGATTGTCGCTCTTCGAAGATGGAGGGGTTGCAGTTTTTTTTGCGTTCCTTTTCATAAAAAGAAAGGATAGGACTATCATTTATATATACCCTGTATCCCTCTTGACGAAGAACGGATCGTCACCGCTTGATACCGCGAAGAATTATTTAATTTAATTAAGTAGAAGTGAGAACATGAAGCTAACAATCACAGCTATTGTACTGTATTACTGAGTGTTTACGCGTATTTTTTTTTTCACGAGAAACGATAATAGCTAACGATACGTTTAACGATACAAAATAATACAACTAAAGGAGCTTTTTACGAGCGATCCTCCGCAAGTGGACTCTTCATATAAAAGCGGTGAGTATACACTCGTGTGGACACCGGTCAAACGATAGAAAAAAAGATGATATATATGTATATACATATACGTATATGTGTACAATTTAAAATTTGTCCTACGTGGAGTTGTGCTCCGATCCGGGCACATCTTGCTTAAAAACTAACGTTTTCCTTCTTACAAAGTAAATTGGGAACAATAGCCTTTGTTTATTTCAATAGAAACATTGGCTTACGTTTACGTATCTCTCAAATCGTTTCTTGATACTTGCTAAGAGACTGCAAAAGTGAAGAGTAACGAGAGAAGAAGGAGAAGAAATGTGAAAAAGTGAAGTGTTATATCTGAAAATATATATGAAAAGGTGTGAAAGGACAATTCTCTCGCGACGAAACCTACCAAGACATTGTTGAAAGAATCGTTGGAGCATGTGTACAATGTCGAGTAGCGCGATCTTTTTGTATAAATATACCCTAACATATTATAGGTACAGTTGCGAAATTGCACAACACAGTCGCGAGACATCATTTTCGTCTTACAAAACTTTAGCCCCACTTTAGGACCTGTGAGATATATTCGATATTGCACGTTTCGTACAATGATGTGTGTGTGTGTGTATGTGTGATTTTTATATATAATTTTACACACACACACGTTCCATATATGTATTAATTACCTAATGCGATTATCATGTATTTATAATACATAAATCGCACATATACTCTCTCCTATATCGTTTTGTAAAACTTACGATTACGTTTTTTTCTTGTTTCGTATAATGCAAAGGTAATTATCGAAGTGCGATAAGGGAAAGCTGAACGTTGCTCGAGAGACTCGCTTTCGTCTTCTCGCATCGTACATCTAATGTTGAAGTCAAACAATCTCTTTTCTCTTTCTCTCTCTCTCTCTCTCATTCTATTGGTCAGCCTATCAAATTATTGAAAAAGTAATCGTCGACCGCATTCACATACTTTTGTTTTCTCATTTATGGAAAAAGAAAAGAGTCAAAGAATACAAATATCGTTACGCTTCACAGCTAACCACAGCATTCGGCATATATGTTTCACTCGTTTAAAAATTACTTATATCACAATAAAAAACGCCGGCGCATCCTTCCATCTCTCTTTACGTGTTTATCCAACTTGCACATACCTCATTCAATCGAGGATCATCATCGCCCTAATGTTCATCGATATCAAGGATGCGTCTAGAGGCTCTGGCAGGTTTTAGCCTAGAGGTTTTCCGGATGGTTGCGGAGACGTAAGTTCGGGATTTGCGTTCCGGGTAACTGGGTCTCGTGACAAAACGTGACCTGTCGACGCAAATCCTCGATCACAGCGCTTGTACTAGGCAAGAATCCGAGGATTCTCGACATTTAGATTTCTGAATTTATGGTAGAGTTACGGTAGTTGACTTTGCGACATTCCCGCACCCGTTTCGTCCGTCAATGCGCGTACATCTCGCGGTTTAGCGCGCACTCTGTAAAATTTCGTGCCACGTGGGACGTGATACCGATTTTCATGCTGAAAAATAAAGCAACAAAATGTTTTATTTCGCTCATCATGACAATTATACTATGTTCCGTCTTATAATATGCAGCTTTGACCAAAAGTATTAGATACCTTTATTTTATGAGATATTTTTTGAATATTTATTGGAGATGATTCTATTGTTAATTTTTATTATATTGAAATGTTTAAAGAGTATTTTTAACAATAGATATCCCAGTTAACTGATTTACTTTAATTGCTATAGTCACATTTTTGGAGGGATAATGCTAGTCTGCTGTCATCTGTCGCTATTATCGCAAATATATTAGTGCGCATTTTTAGAAAGAAATTTTAAAGAAACAATGAAAAATGTAACACCAGAACAATGTCGTCAATTAAGTAGACACTATGCCCAAAAGAATTGCTGTTATAATTAAAGTAAAAGGAGAAGCCACTAATATTGAAAAAACAATAAAAAAACATTTTCCTTTATAAATTCTATGATTTCATTTCTTTTTTACACGGAAACATTATAAGACAATAGAATTAATATAGGGTGCCTAATACTTTTGGCCAAGGTTGTACAGGATAGACAAAAAAATCCTAGTAAACCTGTTTTTATATTTTGCCAAACAATTTTGCACATGAAAAATGTAATAATAATACTCATATGACATATAGAAACATCTGGCGAAGGTACTACAAGATGTAGTGCGTAATTATTTTGTGCAAAAACAAAGTCATTTTTAAAAACTATTTTTGAAAAATTTCTTTTTGATTCGAGCCTTTTCAGTATAAAGGAAACACTTGTAGCTTTAGAGTGCAGCCACTGGGAAAATCGTGAAGAACATCATGTAAGAGTTTTGGCCCGTTTTGGTGAGGCTCCAAGCAGGAGTAACTTATTAAAGCGGAAGAAAAAAGCTTTCAGTACAGGATGTGTGCAAAATGTGAAAAATCCTCCACTCGGTGAGAAACTTGTGCTGCCATCGCTGAGTTATAGTGGCTTGTCACATTTTTCATGTACAGAATTGTTTGGTAAGGTATAAAAAAAAGAGTATACTGGGAATTTTCATCCATTCTGTAGTTGAAAATTTGTCATTAATTAATCAATAGCAGTCCTACCTTTCTCGCGTGACAATACTCCTTATCGATCACTTCAGCGAGAACGCATTTCCGAGAACCGCTCGAGTTTATCCCTATGTCCAGTGCGTCAACGTAGTCCGAATGTAGAAAATAAAGGGTCGTAGATTCCTGATACACCGCATAGTTGCGGTGTGTGTTGTCCCAGACTATCAATATCATGTCACCTGGATTGCAACTGGTGACGGTGATGATTCCCTGTTGCACCATCTTGGCCACTTTGTCCGCGACCTTCTTAGGTATATACGAGGGAAGGGGATGGAAGCATATGGATTTGGAAGATGATCGTCGACTCGGCTCCGGACTGGTGGCCGCATCTCGACTCGAACTAGAATCTGACACTACCGCGACCGACGCAATCATATCCCTATCGCGAGTCTCGGAGGGTAACAACGATGAGTCGATACCAAGTTCCCGCTTGGTTCGTTCCTTCAGTAATTCGATTTCCAAACAGATCTTATCCGTCATTAATGCCTCTACCTTTGCTTCAGCCGCCATTTTGCTCGCACGTATTGAATTCAACTCGCAAGACAGCCTCTTGTTGTCATTTTCTAAAATTTCAAGTCGTCTCGATAGCCGAGCCAGATCGTCATCATCAGTCTCCAGTCGCACTTTCTTTGATTCCGAGACCTCAACTTCGTATTTTTCGGATTCCGGATCTTTGAAAGCTTCTTCCAGATCGACTTGACTGCCATCCAATCGATCATAGGTTAAATCCTTGCATATTTCAGATTCTAGAGAGTATAGATTATCTTTGTTTTGTTCCAGAATCGTTCGCATCTTTTCTGCAGCCTCTTTGCTCTCTAGCCACGTTTTGTCTGCTTCAAGATTTTTCACCTATGTTTTAGTAGAGGAGAGAAAGAAAAATATTAATATATAAAATAATCTAAAAGTATGTAAAATGATTTAAAGTGTTGAAAAATTTTAATACACTTATGGAAATAAACAAACACGCAAGAAAGATCCGTAAATTAATTTTATCGATATTCTTAGCTGAAAATGCCAAACACTATCAAAATGTTTGGTATTGTTCTATCACAGATTTGCGAATCTGTTGTGTATATATTAATGATTACATTTTTTTTCACATTTTTTCGTGAATAATAATAATAATATATGTTATATATATATATATATAATTTCTTATATTTTTCAACACCTTTTTTAAATTACACTTTGCGTATATTACGTGATACGATACCTTCTCCTTCATAGTTTGTCGCGTTTCCGACTTCAATCCAAATTCTCCATTTAATCGATCTATCGTAGCCTTGTAACTGTTGCTCTCTTTGATCAACATAGCTGTTCTTAATTTGTGTATCTCAATCTCCCTGTTTTTCTCTTCAACTACTTTCTTTGCTAATTTCAATTCGTTATCTAATTTTATCATACAATCAGCTCTCTCCTTTTCTATAGCAGTACGAACTGCCATGGCGTTTTCCACTTTCATATTTTCCCTCGTTTGCTCTAAAATCGCTTCGTGATTAGCCAGCTCGATAACATCTGTCCGCTGAAAAAATAAAAAAAATCTTTTACATCTTTCTTCATCTTTCAATAACAACAGCACACGCGCACAAACTAATAAATTGATTACCTCAATCCTCTCTAGACTGGAATCGCTGGGACTTCTTTCCATGGTAGAGGCGGCCATTAGTTTGAAGCGGCTTCGAATCGTTTCCAGCTCCGTCTTATATTCTATTTGGAACTTATCAGTTACCTCTTTCACCATTCTTTCCTGATCATTGCGAGCAGCGATCAGGTTCTCTTCCAATTCGTGAATCCGCTTCTGACATTGCGTCAAAGAATTCGTCAGAGACGTGATCTCGAGAAATCTCTCATCGTTCGTCTTCTTCACAGCCTCTTCTTTCTCTAGGCGCGCTTGTTCTAATATTCTCGAATAGTCCTCGAGCTGCTGGTGCAGACGGGTCTGCAGATCCCCCCTCTCAATCTGCTCGTCCTCCAGCTTTTGACGCATCGTAGCCATCAGTCGCTCGTGCTCCGTCAATTCCGTCTCCTTTTCCAGGAGATTATCCTTCAGCGTGCAAATTTCTTCCTTGTGACTCTGTATCAGCTTCTTGACGTCCGTGATCTCGAACTCGTGCTCGAGCGTTAACTCCTGCTCGCGCTCTTGAAGACGTCGATCACACTCGCGGGAATACAAGGACAACGCCACTCGTACGCGCTCCGTCATCTCAGCGATACCGTTCTTATCCTTTTTGGATTGATCACGCAGAATCGTCAGTTCGTTCCGTACGGAACTCAATTCCTCGCATACGACTACCTTCATAGTCTTTAGAATGGATTGCAATCTTTCCACTTCCTCGCGTGTGTTACCGAGATTTTCCTGAAATGTCAATATCAGAGACGTTCCAATAAGCACATCCAAGATCACGTTTTAATAGAATAAATTATTCGCGACTCTGCATGTATATGTCCACACGTATAACGCATATACAAACACCCTAATAGTACAACGTATGCGAAAGACATTCAGAGGATATCCAGAGAACATTCGAACATTCTCAGGATATTCTCTGACCATCTTCAGGATGTGTGCTGTTAGGGACACAGTCGAGAAAAATTCATTCGAAAGAAGAACAATTCATCTTTTTCAGTAATTTTGAACCACTGGATTTGTATATAATATGCAAAATTGAAATCATTTTAATTGAAAACGAATGTCTTTATGAAAGCGATTGTGTAGATGAATTTAATGGAATTCTGAAGGAATCACGTGTGGATCGAGGAATCAGGAAACGAGTGCGACGCCAGCTATCCTGTAAAAAATCAAGACGCACGCGCATATGTATACAAATACATATGTATATACATATATATATGTACACATACATATACACATATACACTGTTGGCGCACACGTATCTAATATTTGATGCCATTATATTTAGGCAAGCGATACAAAGAAATTAGTTAGAAGCGCTAATAAAATTTAATTCGATTAGTTTGAGCAATTCCAGAACACAAAAAATAACATCCACGTTTCACGAATCAAATTACATATAGTCAGTTTTTTAAATAGCTCACTAACAAATGTAAAGGTAACTATTACACTGTTCAACAAAAAAAAAACCGGCACGAAACTAGTCGTTTCTTAGTTTTTTAGACGCTGAACACGAATCTGTTTTCAAAATTGCTCCATCACGTCACAGTTTTAAGAGACATGCAATTAAAAGAGGCTATTTTCATGAACTTTACTATATTATAGCTACAAATATGCGATGTACTAAAGAAGTTTTCTTGCCACCAAAATAAAGTAATTGTTTTTGGACTTTTAACCCTCAATAAAAATTTTCGGTGTCGATTAAATTCATAAGATATCCATAGTTGAATATGGGGTATTGCAGAGATTAGCTGTGACTTAGGTTGACGAGTTACAGTTTTATATTATATTTATTTATTCTTAAAGGTCTTTTAGATCACTGAATATGAAATCAATATCAAAATTGTCAAACTGGTACTCAATATAAAGAATGCAGAAATTTAAAAAAAAATTTTTTTTTATAAATCCGCCATATTGACTTCACATTTTGACAATTTTAACATTGGATTCGTATTCAGTGACCTAAAAGACCTTTAAGAATAAATAAACATAATTTAAAACTGTTTGTAGCTCGTCAACTTAAGTAAGTCACTTTATTTAATTAGCTAACTTCTGCAATACCCCATATTCAACTATGGATATAAGGTATTGCAGAACCATAACCGACATTGAAAATTCCTATTGAGGGTTGAAAGTCCTAACAATATACCTTATTTCGGTAGCAAGAAAACTTCTTTAGCACTTTGTAGCTAAAATATGACGAAGTTCGTAAAACTAGTCCTTTTTTGTAACTTTAATTGCATGTCTCTTGAAATTGTGACGTGATGGAGCAATTTTGAAGACAGATTTGTGTTCACCGTCCAAAAAACTATAAGAAACGACTAGTGTCGTTCTGGTATTCGACAAAAAAGTCATTTTTGTTGATCAGTGTTATAATAATATTTAAAAAATAAAAGAGAATATCAACTACGAGACCACACATCTATGTATAAATCTATTTACATTTATGTACATCTATATAAACGTAACACTACAAAATTTCCGATATTCTTGCAGAATACAGGAAGGAAATATAGAAACAGAGATAGAGGGTGAAAAAAGAGAAAAATAAACAAATTGAATATTTTAGAGGTATGGTAGGTAATGATAAAGGACGAAGACAAGTACTTCATGGAACGTTTTACGGCTACGAGAGTTGTCTGTTAGCGAGCTGTAAGTCGTCCAGTACCTGAAGGAGGGACACAATAGCCTGATGCTGGCCGTCGATGACAGGATGTTCACTGAGACTGCTCGGTAGAGACTCGTCCATGTAAAACTCGGTACCCATAAAATCGGTAGCGCCTACGCCGACAGAGGGACTGCTACCACCGCTACCGGACAACGGATGATGATAATGATGCTGCTGGTCGTCGCACATGACGGAGGACCGTGGTAAGGAAGGGGGATTTGGACTCAGGGAATGCTGTTCCTCGAGCGGCAGAGTGTCGCGATAGTTTGATAGGCCACTCGCGTTGTTACGGAGCAGACAAACGGAGGATGAATCGGCGGCGCCGTTTTCCGCGCACTCAGTCAGCGGACTCAGCTGCGCCGGACGCTCGCTCGTGGCGGACAGGCTGGGAAATTGGAAAGAGCCGGGTTCGCTTGACGTGGACGAACGCGTCGTTAAATCCGCGACTTTCGAATTTAACGGGGAGACGTTAGTCGAGGTCGACGAAGCGGGGGACACGCTTCGTGAGGCACCAACCTCCAATTGCTTCTGCCGCTTCTGTTTCGCTCCGTCGAACCCGCCGGGCTTGCTCGCGTCAGCACCGGCCTGACTGATCTTTTCAAATTCCTCCGTATCTGTTTCGGATTCAAAATCACCCCTGAAAATCAACGTGGCGTAATCATGACGTTCGCTATTCATACATCATCTATATATGTAAATATGTATTTCGTCTGTAAAAGTGACTATATTATCAAAAATTCACCTGTCGGACAATATCGGCGCTCTAGCGCGCTCTTGTTCCTTTGTTGAAATATCAATGCTCACTGATGTAGCGTCTTTCTTGATGTCATCAGTGCTGCCTTCAGTGAAGCTCTTGGATAGAAAGAATTGTGTAATGTTGTTTAAATCTGGCGTAGAGATGGTAAGCGCCAAATCAGGAAGCTGCGATCTCAATGACTCCATGTCGTCCGCGGTTAGCTGAGAAAGCATAAAGAAAAACTAAGCTATACGAATGTACATATTTCAGTAATGATTACACTGTTCAATAAAAAAAAACTGGTTTTCAAATTGCTCCATCCTGTTACAATTTTGAGAAATTTTTAATTAAAGTTGCAAAAAGGGTTTTTTCATGAACTTTGTCATATTATAACTACATTATATCACGTGATGGAGAAGTTTTATTGCAATCAAAATAAAGTATATAAGAGAAAATATTTCTAATGACGTCAAAATAAAATATGTTGTTAGGACTTTTAACTCTCGAAAGGAATTTTTGATGTCGGTTATAGTTAGTAATAGTCGGTTATAGTTATAAGTTAGCTGTAACTTTACAATTAGATCATTGACGATTTACTAAATAGCTTTTAAGGATTTTTTTAGGTCATTGGATACGAATTCAATGTCAAAATTGTCAAATTCAAAATGGTACTCAATATGGGGGATGTCAAAAAGTTTTTTTTATATAAATTCACCATATTGAGTTCATCATTTTAAATTTGACAATTTTGACACTGGATTCGTATTCAGTGGCCTAAAAGACCTTTAGGATTAAATAAATACAATTGAAATTGATTTAGTAAATCGTCAATGATCTAAGTCACAGCTAACTTCCGCAATACATCCCATTTAACCATGGATATCTTATTGATTATAACCAACATCAAAAATTCCTTTTGAGGGTTAAAAATCCTAACAATATACTCTATTTTGATTATAATAAAATTTCTCTAGCACGTCATATATTGTAGCTATAATATAGCAAGTTCATGAAAAAAGCTCTTTTTTTGCAACTTTAATTAAAAATTTCCAAAATTGTGACGTAATGGAATAATTTAGAAACCAGATTCGTATTCAGAGTCCAAAAACCTAAGAAACGACTAGTCTCGTTCCGGTAAATTTTTTTTGTTGAACAGTGTTATTAACGAAATCTCTAATTGACTTTACCTTGGGTAATCCGTTGTCAAAAACGGAAGGTGCCTGTGTCGCGAAAGGCGGCGGCGTGTCTTCCAGACCCGGGAAGAGGGTGTTCAAGAAGTGGCCGTTGAATTTGCTCTGAAACTCTCGTCTACGCGCCAGCTCTTCGCTGTGAACGGTCAGCAGCTGGCAAGCCAGATTGCTGGCCCATACAAGAAAGGCTTCCGAGAATGTGCGCCTTCTGACCACTTCGATCACCGCGCTTATGTACATTTGCGGAGCCAAATGAATTTGTTGGAGCACTTCCAGATGCCTTCTCAATCGCTTTAAGCTTTCGTGATATATGATCAACTTGTTGCCGACTTCCACCATCTTGTTTTCCACGTACATGATCCACTTGAGACGATGATAGATGTTCACCGACAGTTCCTCTTTCGCTTTGGTGCATCTGCGACGGATGTCACGCAATTGATTGTGATTCTGCAACATCACCAGCAATTGCCGTCGATGGGAGGTGCAAAGGTCGGGCAAAACGCTCGCATCGCCCAGGTTGCTCGCCCGACTCTGATTCTGCAGGAAACCTTGAGCCAATTCACCCTGCTCGTGAACGAGCTTTTTGGTCTGCGCCATTAGCTGTTCCAGAGCGTACAGCCTCTCGCCTAAACCCTTGATCTCCTTCATATCCTGCTTGTTGGCGCTATCGATGGCCCCGTTCACTTCGGCTTTCAAAGTCTGCATCAATCGTTCATCGAACTGCTCCAAGCCGCGCGAGCATTGCTCCGCCACTTGCTCCAAACTGCTCTGATTGTCTTTCGCCGAAATCCATCGAAGCAAGCTTAGTACTTCCACGGGACTCTCCGACGTAGCTTCAGACGATTGACTGGGCTGGTCATCCGGACTCAACAAGCCCTCCGCTTGAGCTCTCAAAGCCGGCAAAATAGGAATTTTCGCGAGAGTACCAAGATCGGCATTAAAACTGCAACGCAAACAATTGACATTAGTTTTTTCATTTGATAAAACACACACAGAAAATATATCAACCTAAACATACTTATTTAATTTTTTTCAAAAGCAAATAAAACTATTTTATTTTCGGAGAAAAATTTAAGAACTCAATGCACTCTTACAAATTAGAATATTATTATCAGGTATTAAGCAATATTTTCGGCTACATGTTGGCAAATATATATTGCGATAAAGGTGAATGCACATATTTTTAAATAAAATTAAAATGGCTTAATCACATTTAATTACTCATTAGCAATGTAATTAATGATAATTAAAGCGGCGAAACAATTACGCATGATAATTAAAGCGCAATGATAATTAAAACGTGGATTCAATAGCAATTATATTCCATTGTAATTTAAGTAATTGAGAGCAGTATATTCTTACGTTAGCTATATCAGCTTGTAACTCATTGAGAAAAATTAGTTCTCACTTTACGCACCCTAAATTCGCCAACTTCCTTTATCTCATTGTTATTTCAATTTTTATTTATTATATCTCCCCCTCAATCTTTTTCGCAACTTATTCGTAAAGCATTCAGCTAATAAATAATAAATATCGAACTCCTAAATTTTGCAATAATTACGACAAATTAATAATAATAATATTTAGTAATAATAACTATTTCTACAATTCATTTTAATCTTTAAAAAAAATTCTTTTACAGAATCTGTATACTGAATTTAGTTGTTGAATAGACAGGTTGTCTGACATAAGATGTCACACCGAAAATATACAAATATATCTTGTTATTTGGAGACAATTTTTCCTGAGCAAAAAGGGTTTTTGCAAGCTAAGCCTTATGAAAATAAAATATTAACAAAACCACATTCTCTAATTAATTTCAAGAGTAGAGGAATTTATTTTATTAAAATTTTAATTGAAAGTTTAATTATAAAGATACATAATAACAAAAATTGGGAACATGCGAAAAATGATGGCCTTCCTCGACATTTTTGCTGAGGAAAAATCGTCTCCGAATAACGAGCTCTACTTGTATTTTTCGGTGTGACACTTTATGTCAGACACCCTGTATATACATATTGTACATATTTTAGCTATTACTGATAAGTCAAAGGATGTAAGAACAAAATAGGAGTTTCTACCATCTTTTCCCGATATTTATGTATTAATGAAACAATAGATGATAAAAAAGTCGTACTTCTCAAGGAGCTTCATATGTTGCTGCCTCTCCGCGAGATACACGACAAAGGCTTGTTGGAATTGCTCGGCACGTGACTGAAACATTTGCGTGATATCCTCAAGATTTGCAACTACCGCGGCCCAACCCTGCTGTTGAAGGTGCTGATCGTGAACTAGCTTCTCGCAGATTCTCGTCTGCTCTCGTGCCAGGCCGCAACACTGCTGAGCCAGATGGGCACGTGCACAGAGGGTCTGGTAGGTGGCCGGCATCGCCAGCGAAGCATCGATCTGGGACTGAAGATCCACATCTGGTGAACAAAAAATCAAAATTAATGCTCGGCTTCACATCTTTCTTATATTGCGTATGTGTGATTATATAATTAAAGGGATGCTGATTAGGTCTATTTTATCAACAAATATTTTTATTTAAGTATATTTATTGGCTATACAAAATGAAAAATCTTTACTAGAATTTAATAAGTATTCATAATAACAAATCTAGGCTACTATATGTATATATAAAAAAAAACAAGAAAGTTAAATAATTACAGTTTTCTATCTTTTGCATTGGGTCAACCTAACCTAAACGATATAAGAAAACTATAATTATTTAACTTTCTTGGTTTCTTTATATATATATATATATATATATATATATATATATATATATATATATATAAAAAAACTACTATATGTATATATAAAAAAACTACTATATGTATATATAAAAAAAAACAAGAAAGTTAAATAATTACAGTTTTCTATCTTTTGCATTGGGTCAACCTAACCTAAACGATATAAGAAAACTATAATTATTTAACTTTCTTGGTTTCTTTATATATATATATATATATATATGTGTGTGTGTTTTATCAAAATATCTTTTTATTTAAAAATGACACGCAAAATTTTCAGTGTATATTTTCTCGCCTCTGATGTCATAATCTAACATGGCCACGGCGAGTACCAAAAAGCTTTAATGTATAGAATATTTCCTATACAGTTGAAAAATTTGTGTTAAAAACAGATATCTCACATGTTCCAAACGGTCCACAAAAATTTTTGTGTTAATTTAACATAATATAGATATATGTTAAGGGGTAATGCCACTCTAGCCCCCGAAAAAACAGCGTAATTTTAACAATTTTTTATGGGAATATAGGGAATGGAATATAAAATGTGTTTAGAAGTTCTTATTGCACATATTTTCAAGTATGTTTACAAGTTAAAAAAATTTTTTTTGTACAAAGTGGCGCGAGAATTCAGCAAAAGAAACCTCTTTTCACGGATAATGTTCCGCGACCGAAAAGATTTCTCCTGCAATTTTTAATCTAAAACAAAAAAAATCAAAAATTTTTTAGTACCCCTTTAAGAAAGACACAAATACTGTGTTAATATTTTAACACAAAATATATGCAAAATTTCAAGTAATTTAAAATAAACTTTGTATAAAATTAACATTGTTTTAATGTAAAAATTAACTAAAAATGTTAATTTTAGATTTTATCACCCCTATTTATAAAATAAAAAATCAACATTATTTCCTGTAAGTTTTAAAAGATAAATCTTGTCACTAATAAAATAAAACATATTGTGTATAATTACAAATAGATGCACATTGTGTTATTTTTACATCTTTTTCAGTTTTAATAATTTAACATTCAAGTTTAATTAACATAATAGCATGTTAAATTAACACATGAATGTGTTAAATATTTAAAACAAAAATTTGAATGGAGACCGTTTTTAAACTAAACAAAACAAAAAAAGAAAAAAAAATTCAACTGTGCAAGTATAAAAAATTAAGAAGAATATTCCTTGGCTTATTTTATGAAAAAAAAGTCGTGAATTTTTTGTATTTATTTAAAAAATACTTTGTGTATATAGGGGATGAACCAATAATTCTGTCTACCTGGAATATCTTCGCTATTTTCAGAGATACGAAAATATTGTAATTACAAAAGTTGTATGGTTTCAAAAGAGCCATAATATGCTAGTATTAATTTTCCAATGGATGGCGGCATTTCTGAGATTTCGTGGTTATCATTACTTTCTTAATTGGAACTACCTTAATTTTTTCACATAAATCGATTCCTCGTAATATTTGGCGTAAAAAATTGTTGAGTGAAATAATAAAAAAATGAATGGTTTATGAGATATTTTATACTTCTCTCTCATTTTGACAAAAAATGTGATAAATCTCGTAATATACTTATTTTTCGATAATCTTATCCTAATAATTGTTTGCAAAGAGTCGCAATCAAACGGAAACTGTGCATCGAATCGAGAATCGAATCAAATAGCAGATGTATAATTGATCGATCAAGTCGCCAAAGAACGTAATCTTGGCACGCGATGAAACTTCAAGGTCAACATGATATGCATCGCTCTAACCTTACATCATTCTCTCGCAGACAGTAAGAAGCAAAATTATGCTTCAAACGGACGAGACTAATTCGCGTGTAAAAAGTCGCAAAAAGAAATCAGAAAAAAAAACTGTTCCGTCGAGGAAAATCGACATGGAAATAAACGTTGCAAAAAAGATATAGAATAGAAGAAAAAAATTATTATGCAACGCGCGTTTGTGATATCAGCATATTTAGATATTTTATTTTACATATTCTATCTGGCATATTCTACCTATGATAATGTACATATCTATATGTATCTATGACAGATCCCGATCTCTAGATCGCCGTTCAAGTGACCCTACTGATTTGCAAGTGCAAAAAATATCATTATGCACAATTGAACAGTCAGCGACAAGATGCCGCAATATTATTAAACTCGAAAGTTGAATCGTCATCGCGAACAAGTGTGCCGGATGTAATAGTTACATTGATTATCGATATTTTTTTATTCGTAAAGCACACGCGTAACGTATAGATTAATAAACAGGAATCCATCGAATATGGAAGTCTCGATTTACGATAACCCCTGAACGGCGATAATTATTTTTTATACACGTGTGTATTTATCTTTTTATTTCTTCTTTAAACACATTACAATTTATGACGTATTAGAAACATAAGAAAAGATGTGTCCTTTGATCTTGTATGTGACAATTGAAGTATCTTTTCTATTTGCTCTTGCATTATTTACATTGACCATATGTATCTTTTTTTTATTAACAAAAAGCAGTGTAAGCATATAATAATCAACATATATCCAATGATGCAAGAAATATTTTATTTCAATATCTTTCAAGCAATTTTTAATCATTAACATATTGAATATATTTTTTTTCAAAAACATTTTTATCATTTCTTAATAGGAATATTATTGCGAAAAATGTTCCCTCATTTTCCTCCATTATTTTCTATTTTCTTATGTACTTACAAGGGGTCAGAAGTGCCCCTCATCGATTTTAATGAACTTTGGATATGTTGAGTAATGAAAAATGTTAGACCCATATTTTTTTAGCTATACGTATCTTGATGTTTAAGGAGTAAAACACCCCCTTGAAAAAGTTTTTTTTTTTATTTCTGAGTTAATACCATCGAAACAATAAAAGTTGTTTCAGATAAGTTTTATAATTTTAAAAGTTCTTTAAAACAATGTAATAAAAATTTTTTTGAACATATCAAATTTTTCGTAATTCCCCTTCCCGTTTCGTAATTTTTGAAAAATACAATCACTGTTTTAAAGAACATTAAAAATCATAAAACTTTTATTTGACACATTTTTTTCATATCTTACCGTTTCGATGGTATTATCTTAGAAATAAAAAAAAATCGATTTTTAAGGGGATGGTTCATCCCTTAAACGTCGAGATACGCAGCTAAAAATACTTTACAACATATCCAGAATTCATTAAAATTAGCGAGGGATACTTCTGACCGTTCCCTTGTTTTTAAAAATCAATAATAAGGTAAGTTTGCTAAAAATCTAATCAGAAATAAAATGGTGCGAGAAATGTGTCTCTCGCAAAAACATATTTTTCTTCATTATAATTAACTTGGGTTTATGAACTGCTGCTTTTTATCAAAGCGTTCCTTCAACTTTTATGAAGAAGATAATCAAATCGCACGAGCGAGAGATTATGCGCGATAATAAGCATTATTGTGAAAAAAGTGCGGAGAGAGGACGATATGGAATATAATGAAACATAAATCGATTATTGAACTGATGATCTTCATTACTTTATGTATGGAAATTTTTTTCTCAATTTAAAATTTTTCTTTTTCTTTTCCTATAAAATTGTCACCAAGAAATTGTCAACAAAAATTTCTTAACTGAAACATTAACAACGTCAATGTTCAACAATAAACAAAAAATGTAATATATTATTAATAATGCAAGATTTTATTATAGGCCTAATGCACTATTATATATTACCGGTTCATTGAATGTATTTTGTATATCTTAACGAAAATTTACATATAATAGAAGCAAATAATTCTAAGGACATTTGTGGGGGTTATGTAAATAATGCAATTCTTACATAATAATATAATTCTTAGAATTTTTTTAGATTACCTTGTACACGAAATCGCGATACCTTTGATCTAAAGTTATATAGGGTGTTTCTAAATAAGTGCGAAAAATTTTAATAAATAATTCTTTGTCGAAAATTAAGGGAAATTTTTCATATAAACATATACTTCTCCCTATATTTCTCTTTGAGAAATTGCATTCCTCCAAAGGAAGAAGTAAAAATTACGTTTTAAATTTTTGTCTCAAATTTTGGACAAGTTAAAAAAGTAAAATTTCATGGATATTTTTCATTATTAAAAAGAATTATTAATATTTTTTTATCTTCTCGTATTGTAATAAGGGGATGAAACTAACATCCATATCTCCAATTTTTTATTAGAACTTTTTTAACGAACCGAAATATGATCATCGAAAAATGTATTCAAAAACTTGATTTCTTTACAGATTTTTTATTTCTTTTATTTTTTTCGTAAAATCAACACTGAAAAAAAGCTATTGATTTCAAATAAATATTTATTTCAATAGTGCCATTAACACCATTTGTTTGAAACTAATACTATTGATTTGCCGTGAAAAAATACTTATTTGATGTAAGAAATCCTTTTTCAAAGCAGATACCATAAATATGTATTTGTTTCAAACAAATGATGTTAATGGCACTATTAAAATAAATATTTATTTGAAATCAATAGCTCTGTGATTCAGTGAATAATTTTCAATAAAAAAAATAAAAGCCTAATTTTTATTTTTCCTTTGGAGAAGTGTAACTCTTCAGAGAGGGATATAAAAACATATGAAAAATATACTTAATTTTCCACAAAGAATCATATAATTTTTTGCACTTATTTAGAAACATCTTGTATATATTTAT